CATATGTTGTCTGGAGAAGGCGGGACTGCCTCTTCACCAAGGTTCAAATCAAAACGACGGTCGGAGGGCCCAGACATTTTCAAAGGTGTTGAAGAAAGAAGAGGTCGGACAAATTAAGATCTTAGAAGTGCAAGAGGGGAGTTTCTACAAAGCAAAAATTCAAGTGTGCATTGAAACGAACTGCGTGCCTCTATAAAAAAAATCAGCACTCGACGGGATTTCAGAGATCGAAGAGGTGAGCTCAGAGATCGAAAATGCCGATTCAAAAATCGAAGAGGCAAGCTCAGAAATCGGAGAAGCATCTTGCTTTTCCAGACGCGTTAGCACCCGTCACATGCAAACTCAGTTTTGCGGAAATCACGGGCAATTTGTTAAAGCGCCAATCCCAGGTATCGAAGAGGCGCCAGTCTTTTTCAGCCTCGTCAGCACCCGTCACGCGCAAACTCAACTTTACGGAAATCACGGGTAATTTGTCGAAGCGCCGATCCCAAATATCGAAGAGGCGCCAGTCTTTTTCAGCCTCGTCGACACCCGTCACACGTAAACTTAACTTTACGGAAATCACGGGCAATTTATCGAAGCGCCGATCCCAGATATCGAAGAGGCGCCAGTCTTTTTCAGTCGCATCATCACCTGTCATATGCACACTCAACTTTGCGCAAATCACGAACAATTTGTCGAATATTTTTTTGGTGAAGGAGAAAGCACGTGAAGTTTACTGTTCAATCATCCAACGGTTGTCGACACGAGTGAAAGAATAGTACCTCTACAGGTATTAAAGAACTTCCTATAACTGTCCACCTTCACCTTCCATAGCAAGGCAGACATACAAAACCTTTCTTTATCTCTAAGAATGCCTTCCCAACGAAGCCTCTCGAGTTACTCAGTGTTCCTTATTCCTTGGGGTACCTCTGCAAACAAATGACACTAAAGCAAAAATATCTCATATCACTAGGGTAGAAAGCAAGAGTATCTCATATCATGCGTTCTCCCTGTCCTTTCCTTTGTCCTTGTTCTTACCTGCAAAGACAAGGATAAAGAAAGCAATATGCCGAAACCTCCACTCAAACTCGGGTAAGGAACCGACTGCTTGGAACCCTTCCCTAATTGCCTACCTAGCACTGCTCTCGAGTACTCGTCTTTCACTGCTGCTGTACTTTCAAAGAAGCTGCCACATCTGCCTGGAGAACAGATAAGGCAAGTGAAAATGATACCTTGCAGCATGTGGAGACAACGTGCAGAAGGAACAAGCAGAGAAGAATGCGGTCTGCACAGTCAACTCAGCAGAAGGAGTCCGAGCTGAAGAACTCGAGAAGCTGCCACATCTGCCTGAAGAAACAAGCAGAGAAGAATGCAGCATGCACAGTCAACTCAGCAGAAAGAGTCTGAGATGAAGAACTAGAGAATATGCCACATCTGCCTGAGGAACAGATAAAGCAAGGGAAAATAATACATTTAAGCATGTGGAGACAAGCACAACAAAGCACATGCCGATTCATCCGTTACTTCTTCAAAATCAAAAGTATCTTATATCATCAGGGTTGCAATCACTCTGGACGGTGAACTCGTTTTGACCCTCAAATTCTTGGGTCGACTTACTAGGCGTTGTGGGCTGCACGTGCCGATTCACCATCCTTGAATCTAATCCTTAAAGATCAAGTCACCAACTGGAAGAAAAGCCCATCAATCTTGAAGATCATACCGTTGACCAAACTACTCAGGTGTGAATTAGAAAGATTGAACAAAGAAACAGGTCGTCACCTTTACCTCGTGCCTGCTTGCCATGTGTTCGAGTCAACCTTCAAGAATCAAGCATCAACGGCCCTTGAAGAAGTTTCCAGCCAAATTCAAGATCAAGCCTCGACGGCCCTTGAGGAAATCACAAGTCCGATTCAAGATTAAGTGTCTACCACCCTTGAATCAAAACCCAGTTCAAGAATAAGCTGTGGAAAATCAACAGTTGGAGGAATCCAGAAAATCCTCCAACCCAGTTCAAGATCAAAGCTGTGGAAAGTCAACAAGTGCAACAAAATACGTGCCGATTCATCCACTACCAAAGCCAAAGATCATCTACCACATGAAGCTCCTTGTGGTCCAATTTCAACCTTCAAGATCAAGCATCGACGACCCTTGAAGAAATTTCAAACAAAAGTTCAAGAACAAGCATCAACGACCCTTGAAGAAATCTCAAGCCCAATTCAAGATCAAGCATCAACGGCCCTTAAAGAAATCTCCAGCCCAATTCAAGATCAAGCCTCGACGGCCCTTGGATCGACATCTACAGTAAGGGACTTCAAAACGCATCTACTACACGTGACAAGCACATGTATACGACGTGCCTTGAAGTGGGGGCATTTGTAGACATCGAAATTTCGGTAAATAAATGTTGACCGATAAATCAAAGTGTCAACGCTCATGTATTACATAAATTTTACACGTAGCGTGTGACTCAACGAAAATTGAAATGAGTTGGAAAAGTCATCAAATAGGACACGTGTCAACACCTGGCAGAAACGACTTATTTCATCTGGGGTATTATATTCAAAATTAGGCCTTGGAAAATTCTATAAATACAAGCCAATTTCATTCATTTGGGGGGAACCAATTCATATTACACCTTGAAGCTCTGAAGCTCTGAAACTCCGAAGCTCTAAAGCATCCAGGTTCCCGAAGAATCAAGAAAGCCTTCTTCGTTCTTCGTTCATCGTTCTTCCAAGATCAAGCCCCGACGGCCCTTGAAGAAAGTGTTCTTCGTTCATCGTTCTTCCAAGATCAAGCCCCAACGGCCCTTTGGATCAACAATCATCCACCAATTCAAGATCAAGCCCCGACGGCCCTTAAAGAAAGTGTTCTTCGTTCTTCGTTCATCGTTCTTCCAAGATCAAGCCCCGACGGCCCTTGGATCAACCATCCACCAATTCAAGATCAAGCCCCGACGACCCTTGAAGAAAGCATCATCGTTCATCATCCGTTCATCCAAGATTAAGCTCCAACGGCCCTTTGGATCAACAACGTCGACAAATCCACACATCCAACCGTTCTTCAAGATCAAGCCCAAAAGCCCTTGGATATCCGTTCATCACTGTTCTTCAAAGATCAAGCCCAAAAGCCCCTTTGAAGATCCGCTCAAATCCACCTTCAAGATCAAGTCCACGGCCCTTGAAGAACGTTCATCCTTAGATCAAGCCCAACGGCCCTTTGGATCAATCACACATCCACAAATACACACCTTACGGAGATCGAATCAGAGGATCAAAATAGAGAGAGATTGTAACCCAAAATCATCAAATACAAATATTTGTTTGTGCACGTTGTTCTTGTCTCTTTCGTTTCAGGAAATTTTCCGTGTTCACAAAGACGACACGATGAATTACCAGATAATCAAACTCGAAGACATAATAGATTGAAGCACTTTTATGCACTGATGCTAGCTCCTTATACAACGAATTGATGGGGAGTTTTAGAATTATGGTGTGTTAGCAGCCTGCACAGGGACCTAAATCTCCCCTTCAGTTCGTTGGACAAGGAACCTAAAATTTGTGAGGATTGTTGTTAATTGCTCACATTTTTTTGAAAAATGCAAATGTTAAGTTTTCGTAAGATATTTTGCACGCACAAGGAAAAATGTGATAAGCCACTTGAAAGCGAGCTTCCCATTATTCAGTCATACATATGATATTGAATATCTTTAAAATGTTATGCTTGAATTTTAAGGATTCCAAATCGGATTAAAAATGTGGTTAATGGCTCACAATTTTTGAGGTTACATTGCATCCTCAACTGAAAATTGTTATAAGTTATTTGGAAGCAATATTACCATTTTATTTATTTATTGAACTTTTAAGCTGGAAAACATAAAAGTAAATTAAACATACCATTGGGGTGAAAATTTAGCCAGAACGTTATGGATTTTATAAAACTTCCACAACCAATGAAAGTGGGTAGTTGCTCACTAGTTTTGTGAATAATGCAATTGTTGGGTTTTCATAATAGTTTTTGCGTGCCATGAGATATGTTGAAGTGGATGGGACCTAGACGGCTGATGGATCACTAGTGAGTTCAGTCAGATCTTACTATTTATTGAGTCACATAAGTATTATTTATTGAGCATGCAAAAGATCTTACGAAAATTCAGTAAGAATAATATTTGCATTCCTATATGAGGGATGAGCTCATTCACGTACTTGTGAATAATATTTGCATCTTTCACAAAAATTAGCTATTACCCATGAACTTTAATCGGTTTTTTTTTCAAAACCATCACAAAAAGCCTATTTGTGTGACATTTTCCCTGTACATAAGCTTCTTAAAATTTTTGTAAGACATTTCATATTTGTTCCTGCCGACGAAAGTATCAACAGGCTACTCCGCCTAAAGCAACCACAGTTAAACTCATTGCCTCTGACCAACAGGAGATTTTTCAATGTACCAGATGGTGTGCCGGGAATAAAGTCCGGTACACCAAGTGTAATAATATAATTAGTTTGAAACTTGAAAAAAAAATTCCAAACAATTGTAATATGAAACTTAGTGTCCGAACATGTTCGTGGCACAACTGAAAAATCTCCTAACCAAGAAAGTATTATGAAGTGGAACAAGGAGCAAATTTGAGATCTCTAGTGATCCAACGATCCTTCTTAGGCGTTGATCAAGTCAGGAATAAACCAAAATACCATTTCCCAAGCTCTTTTGTTTCCTTCTCTAAGTTTGTGAAGCATAAATTATAATAAGCCGACCAAATATACTTCTAATGTTAACATATATAGTATGGTAAGCCGACCGTAGTCGGTCTTCAAATTTGTCTATAATTCGAGGCTTTGGATGAACTTTACAAACAAAAATTATTATAAATAGACCCTTACATACCTCAATGTTAGAACCACTGAAAGCTAATATAACAAAGATTCGTTGAAAAGATACATATTATTAAAGCTCCAATGGGTTCGAACAAATTTGTCACCCTAATTTCCATTCTCGTGATTCTTCTTCCTACACTGTCCATGGCAAAAGAGTTCGTCGTCGGAGATGATAGCGGCTGGAGAACGGATTTTGATTACCAAAAGTGGGCTAAAGGCAAAGTATTTCGAGTTGGTGATACATTGGGTATGTATATACATAATACATTACATAGCAATTTTGTTTTCAATTTTCAGTCTTTTATTTTGAGAGAAAATTGTAACAATTGTCCCTTAACTTTAACCCAATTGGATCAATGGTCATTTAACTAAAAATTCATGACATTGTTCCTCTCACTCATCAAAACGTGTCTATGGTTCCTTTCATCAACTCCGTCACAATTCCCAAAATGAGTCATGTCAAAATGACCATTACTACAATTGGGTTAAAGTTGAGGGACCATTGCTCCAATTACGTTAAAGTTGAGGGACCATTTCTTCAGTTGGGTTAATGTTGGGATCATTGCTACAAATTTTCCCATTTGGTTTTCTATAATTGTCTCTTGATTCAGCCTCACGTTCGTGGCACATGATTCATTTTGACTGAAATTCTAACATAGTTGATGAAAGGGACCATAGTTGCACACATTTTGATGAGTTAAGGGACCAATGGTCATGACTTTTTAGTTGGGGACCATTATTCCAATTGGGTTAAAGTTGAGAGACAATTCCTACAATTTTCTCTTATTTTGAAGTGTTTTTTTTTTTTTAACTAAAACTTGTTTGGTAATTCTTTAAAATTTTAAATGAAAACTAAAAGCAACCTTTGTGAGTTTTTAAATTATGGTATTGAAAACTGTTACCAAACAAGTTTTTAATTTTTTAAATTTCACTATTTTCAGTTACAAAATAACTAATAAAAACTAGAATGATTATCAAGCGGGTCTTAATTACACACTTTTTATTCTTTCATAGTTCGCAAAATGTTTAATGTGATTGCACAAGCTTATACGTTTTAATTACAGTGTTCAAGTACAAGGCTCCTAATCACAACGTGTTCAAGGTGGACGGAGCTGGGTTCAAGGAATGCACTAAACCAACGGAAAATGATAAAGCACCACTTACCTCTGGGAATGACAAAATAAAGCTAACGACTGCTGGAAACAAATGGTACATTTGTTCAGTTAGCAACCACTGTGCTGATAAGGGGATGAAGCTTTTCATTACCGTTGCAGACGAATCATCTGCTGCTCGTAGCCTCATATGGTCTGGATCGTACCAAGTCTTCATCGCCACTGTCATTGCAATCGTGGCAATTGTAGTCTGATACCACATGAGTTCTTGATTTTTTTTCTACCGATACTTTCAATTTATTTGGAGCAACTGAAGCTAGCTAGCTTAATTTGCACTACTGTCAGCGACTTCAAATAATAATGACTTTTCCTTGACTCTTTAAATTATGTAATTTGCATTCCTATTAAATGAAATGCAGTGAACCTTTCTGTTTCGTTAATCTGTCACATTCTTTTCGACAACATTAGATACAACTGTAGCAAGCCTTCTTAAAGTAAAAAGGGTATTTTGGTAGTATGATTCTCTCTCCTCCTATTTCTTCCTATTTGAACGGTCACGATTAAACCATGTCAATATCTTAAGTTGACTTTTTTTATGGAAAGGGAAAGTAAAGGAGGTAAGTGAAAGAGGAGGGAAGGAGATGAGAAAGGATCTAGAGGGGAGAAAATTATACTCTTAAAAATATGGGTACAAATAGGAGAAAAGGATTGAGCACACTTCTATAATCATGAGTAACTTCAATCTTAACAAACCCTAGCACCCATTCAAATTACAAGCTATCACTTTTATTGCGTAGGTGGAAAATATTTTAGGGTTACATACAGTGGCGGATCCAGGATTTTAAACTTAGGATTTTAAACTCGGGGGGTCCCAATAGTAAAGGTCAAAAAATTTATAGACAAAAATAACATTTAAAATTTAAATATAATACATTTAATTCAAAAATCATATGCAAAACAATATTACAAATTATAAAATCATAATTCAAGCGTCCATTACGAGGTTTCATAAGTTACTAGGGAGTACGTAAGTTATTAATTATCTAATATGGACCACTAAATTTAAAATACCGGTCAAATAAAACTCTCCCCAAACTCCCACTATATTTCTAACCAAACACACCATTTTTTCTCTTTTACTAGTTTCCAAACATCCACCTTTTCTCTCACTATGAACACAGCTGCCATACCTCCACCAACCGCCTCCCTCCCCGTTCTCCCGAAGCCATGGCAGCTCCACCCCCAAATTTCACCAACCCACAAATCATATCCATCTTACTAACCTTATGAAGGAAATTTCACCCATAAGAAAAATTACTAAGGTGGTTGAAATAATTTGGGGAAATTTGGGCTTATGTACTGCCCCTGCCAGACGACAGAGAGAGGTTGGAGGAGAAGTGGGTGGCCCCAATGGATGAGACCATGGCAAAAGCAAGGAGGAGAGAGGCAGAAAGGGTCCCTATTTTCTTTCTTCTCCGTGTGCGGTCATCTTATTCGAGAAGAAGACAACCACTGCAACCTGCAACCTACAACTTGCACAGACCTCTTGCTCGAGTACGAGGGGTCTCCGGAAAATTTCTAGCAGGGATTTAGGATCGCCGATGGGTCTTGGGACCTCCCAGGTCCCTATGTGGATCTGCCACTGGTTATATAACCTCCAAGAGCCACACCCACAACAACAACTATTGCAATTGATCTGAGGATTGCCCTTTTACTGATTTTTAGCCTGAAAAGCTTACTGTTGTAGACAAATAGATCAGACGTGTCATCAAAATTCGGAATCATCAATGGTTCCCATTTTGGCAGTCTTATGGTAAGTACAACATGTTGGAAATTTTGAGTAAAAATTTTATTGTCCCACATTGGTCACTACTAAAGGTTCTCTCACTTTATAAAGCTTTATCCATTGTAGAAAATGATTGGAGTGATGAACCATAGAGAATAAGATTGGGCTCAAGGGTTAAGCTTTGGGATGTACTAATTGACTGATAATTAATATATAATTAATAGATAATTTATCAAAAAATGGGTCTTGTGCCTTGGGGCTCGGGCTCTAATAATTAAATTCTTTAATTAATTATTTTTTATTAATTTCGAATTTAATTAATTATTTATTTTTTTATCAACAGACTCATCTTTTCGATGAAGTTTGAGGTGATGAAAGAACGCAGAGAGCAAAGCACCCTTCTGAGAAGATGTCTCCCATCTCATTCTCATACCTGTTGCGAACAGGCATACATCTATTATGTATACATCCATCTACATAGCATTTATTACACAAAAATTGAAAATTCTTCTTCTACAATCCCAAACATACTTACTGAGAGAACCACAAGGAAATTCGCCAGAAGTCAAGTTTTCCGGTGCTGGAATTCTAATTTAGATTTTTGAATCCTTGTGAAGTAGACGCCCGTAGAACTACAAGCACTGAGTATGGACGAAATTTCTGTTTCAAGGACATTGCGGTATGCAAGCCTCGATCTTCAATTTATCTGTTTAATATTATTCCATTTTTGCTCATACTCTATTAATATATTTATTCACATTTATTATTTATTAGCATATATATATTGATTGTTGATATTTATCCAACACACCGTTGCCAAACCTTGCATGAATATCCTTAGTGTTATAAACATTGCGATGAAGTTTGAATTTTTGGCGGAAGCGGCTCAATCTACTTCCACCCATCGGCCGTTGGCCCTCAGCTTTATTGTTCCTTTCTTGTCGTTCACGCTAGCTTGATGAATTGTTCAATCTTGAAAACCAAAAATTTAAACGTATCAGAAAACTTCTATTTAAAATTGATGAGCAAAGTGTGTAATTAAAGAAACAAATAGTATGAGAAGTCTCTTAAAGAATTATTAACTTTGGCCAAGCTTTAAATAAATATGGTGAATCTACATATAAACTTTGTATATTTTTCATATGTTAAAATACACAAAACAAAGAATATGAAGAGTACCATGGAGAGGAATCTGGTAAGTGTCGAATTGTTCCTCTTTTAGGAACTTGCAATTAGGCATAAAATCGTCGTAAGAACGTATAATGTCAACGAATTCACCATTGGAATCCATGGGATAATCAGTCACTAGCTACTTTTCTAGATTTTTGGCTCTGTCAGAGGTATATAGTATATATAGCTTCATCTTATTTACAGGTTTCTTGTAGGCTTGGTCGATCTACGAAGATCAAGAATTGTTCTTTAGTTTGTTTAATATCTTTTATCTTGCTTTCTGTCTTTGTATTTCTTTAAAACAAGGCATGCAGAGAAACTTAGCTATAGCTGATGATGCCTTTCTAACATTTTGTAGTTGAATAAAAGTGTATTCAGCTTCAAGGGATCTGACGATTGGATTCATCATTATTTCCAATGTATTTGCAGTCCTAAGCTTCTATGCTTCCAATTGTGTATTAAATAAAGACTCTCTGTTTCTAAAATTCTTCCTTAATAATATTTTTTTGTATATACAAGACTTCGGTTGCAAAGGGAAATGCTCTTAACCACTAGCTCTACAAGCCTTTTTTTTTTGTTACAAACTCTACAAGCCTCTTTGCTCGATCTTCTTAGTAATACATAGGTTATAAGATAGTCGTAGTTTTGTTACAGTAAATTCTGGAATGGAGTCAACAACACCATAGCGGAGCCAAAGACAACTATTTATATTTATAAACTACCCCCTTCTTAATAAACTAATTCTCATATGGGTATATGAACAAGCTAACAGTATAGGTTTTTATTCCCAACAAATAAGCAAGGAAAATTCTAGAAAGATTAAATTTGATAGACAATATGATGTGCCGGTTTATGGTTAGATTTTTTTTTTAAATATTTTTTTTTAAAAGAAAATAATCATTAATCGCTGCATCATGTGGTCTACAACATATAATTACAATAATTAATCTCTCTAGCATCATCAAATGAGCAAATACCACTATCGGAAAAGCGAGCAATAGTTACAAAGACTAGTAGTTATTTGGTGGTTGTTGGCGTACCAATGAAGTTATCAATTAGAAAAATAAGGGAAAAAAGCTAAAAAGTACTAATGGCCACACCACTATGGTCACTACTCACTAATGCATTAAAATATATTATTTTTTATTTTTGCGCCTTTTTCTCATTGGTAACACATTGCTATACCCTAGCAAACATCAACCAAGTACAATGGCGCGGAGCCACCTTAGGGGCCAAAGGTGACCATGGCTCGCGGCCCATTTTATTCTTCAATGTAATGCAATATTAAGAAAAATTGCAATGATATGTTTTAAATTTAATGAAGTTCAGCTTTTCGACAAAAAAAAGAAAAGAAAATTGCAACGGTTTTGGTAACAAGTAATATTTTCATGGTGAATTGTTCATTTGTTGTATGCATTTGAATGGCTAAAATATCTCTAAATGAAATGATTTTTTGCAAATAGGATCTTTAAATGATAATAAAGAGAATGAATGATTTCGATTATGATGTTTGGATAGTAAAAATTCGTTAATCGTATATAAGAGGACAAATAAGTACCCCAAAGACACAAGCATTATCGAATAGATATTTCTTTTCATATTTAAGCTTCACTATTTTCTCCCTCGCCCCTCCTCCCTCCCCTCTCCCCCCTCCCTAAAACGTTGAATTTAATGTTAATATTCTATTATCTTCCTCCAATCCTTCATCTTTGAAAGAACGTACGTCTACCACTTTATCTCTTTTTATTCATTCATTTCCTACTCTTCCTTCATTAATTGGTTTAGTAGTTGGAGACAAATTTCAAACTCATATTCCACACAACATGGTTATGAGAAGATTGAAATGCTTCTGTGAATCTTTTTGTTCCCAACCCCTAGAATGGTGGATTGTGGTGGCGAAGCTACCAACTAGTCCTTTAAAAAAATATATATATATATATCTATAAGTGCCACTCTTTATTTCACAAGCTGTATTTTCTTAAATCTTTTAATTTTAATATTGTGTGTGGTTTGTGTATTTGGTATTACTTTAGTCGGTTAATTAATATATATGGTGTTATGATTATAATTGATTACAGTTTTTCAACGGTACTTGCTAGTTTGCTAGTATTGCTACAAAGGCATTCATGGAACTTGATCTGATGGAAGTTCCCTCAAATCAAAGGCATTCAGGGAGCTAGCTGACTTTGGATATCTAGATACTGCATAACCTCCCAGCGCCATGACCAGAATAACCACCACCGCTGTCTTCTTGCTCAGTCTTGGCCTCAAAACTCTGCTTCTTAAACAAACTAAGTAGTCATTAACTGACGACCATGCAGCATTATCTGCCCCGTGTGATCCAGCTGATGCGTTAGAATGCTGAGCTTTCTTTGGAATAGTTATGGAAAGAATTCCACCAGAAAACTTAGCGCGGATTCCGTTCGTAGTACAATTTTTAGAAATTTTAATCTCTTTACAGAAGCGGCTGGGTAAAGCAGATGTAGTTTCTTCAACCCTAGGTTGCTTTCCGCTAATGTTTAGGATGCCCAAATTGTTGATTTGAACTCTAATATCTTGTCTTTTGAAACCTGCATGCGTGCATCAACGAGTAAAACAAAAATTACGTAAGAGAAGATGACAGGAAACTTGGTCTCTTGCCAAACAATTGTCATGTTCACATTGTCGCATTGCATGTACAAGCTCATATTTAGACTGTGAATCTTGACTACAATTTAACAAAAATTCTAGCGGAGTTATTGTATAGCATGTATTATTACTGAATATAACACACAACTAGATGTGCGCTGAGAATTTGATGAAATTTAACTGGCGAATCTGAGTCAATTAAAAAGCAATGTATACTATACATTGATGCATAACAGAAGGACTCGATATTTAGTCAAAATCAATTTGATCTAGTAATACCTGGTAGATGTACTTCAAGAATGTTAAATCCTTCCTCCTTGTTCCATTGGCAAAACGGTTCAAAATCCTCATAAAACTGCTCATCCTGTACTGCAGTTTTGGTTTCCATTGGTGATGAATAATTCTTTTCTCTCTTTAAGGGTTTCAATAGGGAATGCAAAAGGAATACATGAAGGTCTCTCTTTCTTTCATCTTATAGATACATGCTGAAAGGGTTGGGACAAGGTAGGTATAGCCTAAAAGGTTTCTTCTGGGTTTCCTTTCAAAAGAGAATGATTCGATTTCTTTATTTTCTATTTTTTACTCTTCTTAAGTTTTCGTGTTCCTGCATTGATATAATTTCTTCATCCTTAAGATATCAAGCATATGCTACTACTTCCAGAGCACACCATCAGCTAAAGGCTTTATACTGAACTGTGGAAAAAAGTTATTTTGACGACAAGGAAGCAAAGCGTATATACTGAACTGTGGAAAAAAGTTATTTTGCCGACAAGGAAGCAAAGCGTATAATTGCTATTAACAATCTGCAATTAGAACCGTTCAATTTCTCAATAACTATTTAATATCATCTCTTTAAAAATTAATCAGATTAGGGATCATTTAGCCATTATCAACAAATTGACGGTTCCTGATGAGGATTTTAACCATATCAAACTGTTTTATTAAGTTAATTTTTTGAGCGATGATCTTTAAATTATATGACGTAAGAAATGAACTATTTTGGTTTGTGATGTGTATGATGAAAATTTGATACGCAATTCGGATGAGGAAAGGCCCTCCGAGTGTTATGATCCTCTCTCCTCCGAGAGGGTTGCCACTGTGCACCTTTGTGAACCAGAGTAAGGTAGCTAATAAGAATTGATCAGACGTTCTTCAAGAAATTACATTCATTAAACTTATCTCACAAAATATAATCACGATTATCGTAGTGAAATAATTGGATTATACGTGGATTGTACAAATATAATCTTTGCATCTTTTTCATATGTAAAAAAAATAACAAAACAAAGAACATGAAACAGAAGAGTACCATGGAGAGGAATCTTGTAAGTGTCGATTCGATCCTCTTTAGGGAACTTGCAATAAGGCATAAATCCTCGTAAGAACATATAATGTTCTTTACAGGTTTCTTGTAGGCTTGGTCGATCTACAAAGATCAAGAATTGTTCTTTAGTTTGTCTAATATCCTAACCTTTATATATCTTGCTTTCTGTCTTTGCATTTCTTTAAAACAAGGCATGCAGAGAATCTTAGCTAGCTGATGCGCCTTTCTAACATTTTGTAGTTAAATAGAAGTGTATTCAGCTTCAAGGGATCTAACGATAGGATTCGTCATTATTTCCCATGTATTTGCAGTCCTAAGCTTCTATGCTTGCAATTGTGTGTTAACTACAGAGTTTCGATTTCTAAACTTCTTCCTTAATAATACTTTTTTTGTATATACAAGACTTCGGCTGCAAAGATAAATGCTCTTAAACGTTATCTACAAGCCGCTTTGCTCTCCTTAATTAGTTATACATAGGTGAAAAGATAGTCGCATTTTTGTTACGATAAATGCTCAGTGTGAGTACAAATGGGGTTAACAACACCAACTGATGCATAGCATAGATGAGCCAAAAACATAGCCATTTCTATTCTAAACTTTCCCCCTTCGTTATAAGTGAACTCTCATATAGTTATTTGAACAGGATAAAAGTATAGGTTTTTACTCCATAACAAATGAGCAAGTATAGGTTATAAATTAATATTCATATAGCTATATTTTCCTAAATCTTTAAAATCATATACATTAATGTGTGGTTTATGTATTTGGTAATACTTTATGATTGTAATTGATTACAGTTTTCAACGGTACTAGTTAGTATTGCTACAAGGGCATTCAGGGAACTTGATCAGAGGCATCAGGGAGCTAGTTGACTTTGGAAATCTAGACACTGCATAAACTCCCAGAGCCACGACCAGAACAATCACCACCGCCGTCACAGCCCTCTTCTTGCTCAGTCTTGGCCTCGAAACTTTGCTTCTTAAACAAACTAAGTAGTCACTAACCGACGACCATGTTGAATGCTGAGCTTCCTTTGGAATAGTTACGTAAAGAATTTCACCGAAAAACTTAGCGCTGATTCCGTCCGTATTAAAATGTTTAGAAATTTTGATCTCCTTACGGAAGCGTCTGGGTAAAGCAACAGATTTAGTTTCTTCAACCCTAGGTTGCTCTCCGCTAATCGTTAGGGTGCCCAACGTCGTGTTTTTGTGAATTCTAATATCTTGTCTTCTGAAACCTGTACGCATGCATCAACAAGTAAATCAAAAAGTATGTAAGAGAAGATGAAACGAAACTCGGGTCTCTTGCCAAACTTATGTTGTCAGACAATTGTCATGCTTACATATTGCATGTACAAGCTCATATTTGGATTATGAATCTAGATCACACCTTTAACAAAAATTCTAGTATAGCATGCATTACTGAATTTAACACACAGTTAGATATGCGCTAAGAATTTCATGAAATTTAACCGGTGAATGGAAGTCACTTGAAAGGCAATGTATACTCTACATTGATGCATAAAAAAGTACTCGATATTTAGCCAAAATTCGATTTGACCTAGTAATACCTGGTAGATGAACTTCAAGAACCTGAGTTCCTTCCTGCTTCCATTGGCAACGCGGTTTAAAATCCTCATGACGCTGCTCATGCTGTGCTGCAGGTTTGGTTCCCATTGGAGAGAAATATTTTTTTTTTTCTCTTTTAGGGTCTCAGTTCAAGGGAATGCAAAAGAAATATATGAAGGCCTCTCTTTCTCTCGTCTTATATATACATTCTGAAGGGGTTGGGAACAAGGTAGCTATAGCCTAAGGTTTCTTCTGGGTTTCCTTTCGTAAGAGAATGATTCGATTTCTTTAATTTTTTGTTTACTTTTCCTAAGTATTCTTGTTCCTGCATTGAATTTGAGGCAATAATTTCTTCAACCTTAAGATGTCAAGCATATGCTAATACTTCCAAAGCACACTTCCAAAGCACATCATCAGCTATAGGCTTTATAGTGAACTGTGAAAAAAGGTTCTTTTGACGACAAGGAAGCAAAAGTGTATAATTGCTATTAACAATCAGAACCGTTCATTTTTATAATCACGATTATCGTAGCGAAATAGCTAGATGGATTATACATGCATTGTACGACCAATTTCATAGCATTTTCACCAACAAAGTTTACATCCAAACAAGTTGATGAAAAAATACTCCTTTACCAACGTCCACCCCCAAGTGATACCATCCATTCCCTTGGTAACTAATAACTAGTGAGTTAATACTTTACAATCCAAAAAACATCTGCCAGCAACGAAGCATCACTAAAACGAGAACCTGCCAACCTCTTCGTCTTCATCTTCATCTATACCTTCCTCATCTTCAGAAAAAACCTCATCTTCCTCTTCGGCTTCATCTTCTTCATCCTCATCCATCATGGCTTTACCCCTCTCATCTTTGTCCTTCAAACCGGTGCTCAAGACCACAGTTTCTCCCCTGGATTTCTCCATATCCTTCCTTAACTTCTCCATGTTCTCCTTTCTGTGTTCCTCCTCTAATCGTTGCTTCTCTGCCCGTCTCTTGTCCAGATCAGCCCTATACAAGCAATCAGAAGCAGGAAATTATTAAAACTAGATCAAATATACATATAATCATGGCCTACATCATAAACATATTCCCACTGGCATTGTAGCATGGAGTGAAGGTACGTTCTTGAAGTTCAAGCATTACTTATAGGTTTCCATGTACTCGTCAGCACTTGCTTCAATGGTGTTAAAGAAATCCTTCATTCCAGCACCAGTAACCGCAGACACTCCAACAGACCGCAAGTTCTTGTAGAATTCATCCAACACAAGGGAGAGGCTCTGAGCCAAATTTGAAGAGTATGAACTATCTGCATTCACTGCTGCTTGAAATGTCTCAAAATCCTCCATCCACTGCATGAACACAGCAGTTTTCAGGACAAAGTAAAAAAAAAAAAATCAAAGAACACGTTTTACATGTTTGAGATTACAGCAAAAATGGAGAAACCCCAAGAGCATGGTAGAACAGCTGCATCTTAAGTGCATGACAGTAATTTAGATGAACAGAATCAAAACAGGAAGAGAAAAAATGCAGTATTCCAAAAACAAAGTAGATTGAACTACAATTCTTCCATATAAATTTTCTTCAGGCTACTTAAATCCAGACATATAAAAATGGTATTCCAACACTTGAATCATAATAAGGTTGAACAGAGCTTGTATACTCAGAAAAATTGCATAATATAATCCCCGAGATTGTTTTATGCTCTGCTCCCTGTCACTACTAGAGTTTCGTATGACAAACTGGCCCCTTAAAGAATTGTTGCACAATCTCTACATTCGTTTGGTATTTTAAACCTAAAGAATTATAAACCACCTGAGTTTGAGACAGATTCTACCGCTAGGCCCGAGCAATATGTTCCTGGAACCATCTACTGCTTATATTATGGCCAACTGACTTAACTTATGGTTTACCGTAAAAGCTTGCAGACACACCATATTCAAGCACTTCAGTGATGCGAGTATGTCATTAAAGTGCTTATGTATATGTGTATCATTCTATGTCTGCATGAGCTCTCCTGCCTGCACTTACATCTAAAACTGTAAACATACCTCCAAAGCAAACTGATGTTGAGCAACGTCAATCTTGTTGAATGCCAACACAAGAGGCAGCCTTGTCTTGTAAAGGATACTGCAAGCATACAACATATTGCTCATAAAAGTAACTGGGCTGGCTGAACGAGGCGTATCTACCACATACGCGATTACAGTGGGAAATGTTGAAGCAAATGCTTCTGTGATGATAGCACCAGAAGCCGACCAAGTGAATATCTCAATCTGACCAGGAGTGTCCACAAGAACATAATCAAGCTGATCCGCTCGCTTCTCAATGACAGAGATAACCTGAAAATTTAGATCATGATGACAATTTCATTTTTTATAAAACGAGACAAAAAAGAATGAAGCAAATCAGAAAACATGAGTTACAAGAACCACATTAAGAGCTTAGTCATATGGATCCAACCAAAATCGCCATGCATTTGGAAACAAATTGAAAAATTAGAACCAGTACTCAAGCCAACGATGCAAGACAATATACAAAGTTATTGAATGAGATCACCATAAAATCTGATGTACTATGCATGTGATG